GCCAATCAAAGACTGAAGTGATTCTAGACTTACTCAACATGGTAATTTGCCTTTGGTAAACAGTTTATGAGGTATGCTCCAGAATCGATTGTGTCTACCCTCATATGCCTGGAAACGCAATATGAAAAAAATCCCCGAAAACACCCTTAATAGCCAAAGGTGCCAGTCCAGTGCATGTCTAATGTGTATAAAGTTTAATGAAGAATATATGTATAGGGTAAATACCTAAAAAAAGTGATGGGCGTACATTGTCCGTTTCTATATCACCTACAGAAATCAGTTTGGGCGGCGGATCATTAAACACTCTCCAGACTTGGAGAAATGTTTACTTCTTTCTGTGATCTTGATTTCGGGGCCCAAACTGAGGCAATCTTGACTTGCCAAATCATTCTTGACTTGAGTTGGAGTCCTTTTCATATTTATTCTCTTGGGTCTGGGAGACACACAACGCTGTGAGTATCGCATGGAGAACTAACCAGTAGAGAGAATCCCGCTTGGGTCAGACTGGGCCAGTGTAGTCTGTATCCTCCCATTAGTTTCGCGTCCCGTTTGTCACACAAAACTTAACACAACATAGGTCATGGCGGCAGGCACTGGCTGGTCAACCCTATGTTACCTTAGTATTAGAATGGAGTGATCCAAGAAAAGTAGAAAAGTAATCTTGTACTTTATGTATATAAAACTGTAGAAAAGTAAACTTGTACTTTATTTCTGTGTTGTATATACACACAATGACATTAACATGTTAAAATAAACATTCTTTATTTGCACTGGTAGCAGCACTGATTAATTCATGAATTGATTGTCTCTGAATAGTCTTTGTGTACTCCAACCCTGCATTGAAGGCTGCAGCAAAGTCGGCGAAGAACATGTTCCCTTCAAACAAACACAGGTATATTTTGATAAATGAAACATCTTCGTGTGCATAAATGGAATCCCAAATGTCTACTTCGTTTGCAGAAACTGTTCAAGATAATAATACTGTCTGTCAATGCGTTCAACATGTAAATACATTTCATACCTGATATATTGACATGGTCCCAGCTGGCAAACAAGAGTTCTAAGAGCTTACTGTTTCGGCATAACTTCATCTATTCATCCGAGGCAACGTGTTTTGCAAACAACTGCGTCATCACTTAATTTCAGTGATCCATTAATATATTTTTACCGCTATTGTCAACGTTTACGCCAAAAGGAATTTGTTTCGTTGGAAAATCGAAATTGGTTATTCTCTAGCATTGATGTTTCACATTTCTTCGTTGGAAAATCGAAATTGGTTATTCTCTAGCATTAATGTTTCACATTTCTTCGTTGGAAAATCGAAATTGGTTATTCTCTAGCATTGATGTTTCACATTTCTTCGTTGGAAAATCGAAATTGGTTATTCTCTAGCATTGATGTTTCACATTTCTTCGTTGGAAAATCGAAATAAATTATTGGTTATTCTCTAGCATTGATGTTTCACATTTCTTCGTTGGAAAATCGAAATTGGTTATTCTCTAGCATTGATGTTTCACATTTATATGGTTGCTTACGACATGAGTATTGGTTGAAAACAACATCTAGTGTCACACGACACCAAATAATATGTGTATGCCTGAAGTAAATACTATTTTATTCAGGAAACAATAGCTAGAATAAGTTACCCGAACAGACTAAATGTTATATTTCCCTTTAATATAACACGTGTTTCAACACACAAAAATGTTAAACAAACACACATTTGTGTTTACCGTTATACTTGCCCATGTAGCCGTCGTATACATGTAAAATATATAAATGTTGTGCACAGTCATGGGTGGAATTGAATACAATATTGAAATAAGGAACGTGTTCATGAGGCGAGACATTTCAAAACAGTATACAATCTAAAGTGTTGAAGATCTTTGGTTGACTACAAACTACAGTTTTTACACGTGCACATACCTTAGCTACATCATGAATAATATATACCTTTAAATACCCACATCTAAAATCAACCAACATCCCAGAAATACAATAATTTGGTTGTAGTTAAAATTATAAATCTACTCAATGGAATCCAAATGGATCCCAGAACGATGCTTGATTTCAGGACCAGAACTTAGGCAATCTAGACTTGTCAAATCATAATTTACTTGGAGTCCGTTTCAAATATATTCTCTAGGATCTGGGGACAGATAGAGTAACACGTAGTCAATGAAAACATTTCTTTAAAATATATTTTTTATTCGAAAGAACCTTTCCCCTTCTGCTGTTTTGAAATCAACTAAACTAGACTTGCCTAGGTTTTTAGTAAAACAGAATACCTAAAAAATATAAATTCCACAGTCATGGCGCAGGACCAGGGGACAGACTACGGTGTGAGTATCGAATGGAGAACTGACGGAATCCCGCTAGGGTCAGCCTACATATTGCATATCCTACACCACGAGATCCGACTTGGTTGTGGTTCAGGGAAATTTGACAGCAAATCGCCACATGAACCAAATTCTTCAACCTCACCTTCTTCCAATCATTGACCGTCAGAGGGAGCTGTTTCAACAGGACAACGCTCCACCGCACACAACTTGTGTCACGGCAGACTACCTCCTTATGCCAACAGCAACGTCTTGCACTGGCCGTCGAGATCTCCAGATCTCAACCCAATCAAACAACTCTGAAATGAACTCGATCGACGTGTACGTCAACGTCAGAACCGCCGCAGATACTCCACAACTGGCCAACGCGTTACAAGCAAAATGGCGCCGAATTCCGCAAGACAGAATTCGTACGCTTAACCAGTCAGTGCAGAGGAGATGCAGAGCCGTGATTGCTGCCCCGGGCGGTCACACGAGATACTGAGTTTAGTGCAACCTTGTGGCCTTATGTGACATGACACTGAACAATTTGCAATGCCTTTGTACAACGACAACATGTGACTATCGAGGTCCAAAATTTCATATTTGTGTCTATGATATTAAATTAAATATATCGACTTTATCCAGTCACAGGATTGTAAATGATGGCACCTGTCACAAATACATGCAAAGACATGTCAATCCACGGAAACATGATGTTACTATTAACACGAGAGTTGGGGAATCAGAATTATATGTGACTGTCTGTCGTCCGTATTTATACCTATTCTAGCAACTACAGATAATCTCTTTGACTGATTAAACTGACGATAAAGTTGTTATTGCGAACTTTAGGGACGTTCTCGTGCTTTTGTGTCAATTGCCTATACAGTCATATGCAACTATTTTCAAAAACGCGAGAACGCGAGATTGCGACAATTGACCAATGTCGCGATCTCGCGTTCTCGTGCTTTTGTGTCAATTGCCTACACAGTCATATGCAACTATTTTCAAAAACGCGAGAACGCGAGATTGCGACAATTGACCAATGTCGCGATCTCGCGTTCTCGTGCTTTTGTGTCAATTGCCTACACAGTCATATGCAACTATTTTCAAAAACGCGAGAACGCGAGATTGCGACAATTGACCAATGTCGCGATCTCGCGTTCTCGTGTTTTCGTGTCAATTGCCTATACAGTTATATTTAAATATTTTGAAAAACACGAGAACGCGAGATCGCGACGCTTGACCAATGTCAATTCTTTGTATCACAGACACGAGAACGCGATATTTTGTCCAAATCTCGCGTTCTCGCGATCTCGCATTCTGGTGTTTTGGTCATATTTAGCTCGTTTCCAAAGGTCGAGATCGCGAGATCGCGAGAATGTCCCTTACAGTATTCCATAATTTTCCCAAACAGGAATCGGTGTAATTAAATCGGAAATGCTTATAACTGTGTTATGAAGGTAGCTAGGGACATTGGACTTTCTGTTTCCAGACTGTCCTGGATTGCATTTTGCGTGAGTGAGATCAAATGTCACCTAATGTAGAAAAGTTCAAATGATTCGTGATATATGTTTCTGATGGGAAAATGTGGGAATTGGGCTTCTTCGGGGTTTTTTTGTGATGCAAACGCCTTTCTATTTTTTTAACCGTGGTAACTCGATATTAGCATTGATCTATTGATTCAAAACAACGCTATATTTAATTAACACTGCAATTAGACCTCACTACCTTGCATTCAAATTGGTCTTACATCGATTTTAAACCTGCAATCAAAACATATACACGTCTATACAGTGTCGTATTCAACAAAACTGAGGTAGGTGTCAATACACTGAATGCAATGAAACCAATTGGTCATCGCCACGGGTTGACTGTCTGGACATGGTTATCTCATTTCACGGCATATTGACCAGGTCTGACTCACGAATATTTCCTTTAACCTAACGAGGACGAACCTCCTAAATGTTACCCTTGTGATGGAATGTTCATCGTCAAACCTATTGTGTGGAGTTTGTATAAACATGCATTATATATTCGTCTAAGTACGATTTACCTTTATGTTAATCAAATCTTATAGTATTGCGAAATTACCCCTCACTGTTGCGGTGTGCATGGTTAACTTGTTGTCGTCACTTTATTGCTGACATATTGCTAATGCGATATTAAATTTTGACTCACGTATCACCAGCCATTTAGACTCTCGTCGTTTCCTGGTGTACCCGGGGGCACGGGTGGCCCAGTCGTCTAAGGCGCTGCGATTCGCTGTGCAGAGTTGCGTCCCTTAGGCACGCCAGAAACCTATGATTGTGGGTTCGAATCCCGGTTCGCCCCGATTATGTTTCTAGGTTTGTCAGCACCATACCCGTGCTCGTGGGTTTCACCGAAGTGGTAAACGTCTGAGATCTGCATCAGTTCGGGCTTTCCTCCAACACTAAGCTGACACGCCGTGATATAACTGGAATACTGTCAAAGGCGGCGTTAAACCCAACTCACTCACACTCATGGTGTACCCCTCCCGCTCTGTCAATCAGTCAGTCATTCGTATTCTGTCATATTGCCATCATATCATCACAACGTGCATTCGTGTCACGCAACACACTCACAACATACCATATTCAATAAATGCGTCAATTGCTGCATAATTGTTACAAAATGTATCATCTTCACTTCTTTCAGAGTGGGGCACATTTACTGAAGAACGGATTCGGGGCTATATTCCATTATTTGCCTCCTGGATAAAGCTTCAGGATGTTTTGCCCATCTTCTATGACGCACTGAAACAGAACCTCACACGGGAATTAGTCAGGATTAAGGCGTTCCTGGGACAGTCGGGTATTAAAGGAGACGTTCGATGTGCTTTGAGAGACAGTGAAGGACACTTCCATAGAAAAGAGACTGGAATCACACTAGAGTTCTTCTATTCCAAAAAACAAAGAATGGCTGTAAATAGTGTAATTGACCAAATGCAAAAGATGTTTAAAGACCGGTTTGAAAACATCCGAGAGGATATGGACACGTGGAAGTTGTAGTCATACTGCACCAAATACATTTTAATATGAGTCGTTACTTGGCATGAGGGTTGTCTGACTCGCGTCATTTTAGAGGGAAAAAAACAGATTTATTGATTATCTTAAACATAGAGTATGTGCCAAACAGCAGGTTAACTTTGCTTCAGGCTGAACGGAGAACGGAGGTTTTACCTCAAACTTGAGCATGCCGTTGTCAGTTTTCAAATCAATGTTATATCCGTCCTTCCTGCTTGCAAAAGGTCCAGCACGTGCAAAAGGAAGGCATCTGGGGCAAATGGTTGATGGTGTGTGTCATCAACATTTAAACTCTATTCATGTCTGATTTATTTTGGTATGTAAGGAGATTGGAGTGGGGGTTTCCTTAATGTTAAAAGTCTCTGATAAACTTGCCACTTTCATACTACATCTTCGTTGAATGAATGAGAAAACAACATGTTGCCAAAATACTTTGTTCCAGCAAATACAGGACAAGATAATTTTGCCTCACGTTTTACCAAAGAAATAATTGTTTCAAACATATGATATGGTTTACAAAGCAATGACCGAAATAATATTCCATGGTCAACCAAAACCCCGCGCCCCCGTCAACTAAACCACGTCCCCGTCAACTAAACAGGTTTAAAGAAATAATTACGATTTTATTTTTTATTGATTGGATTCCTTACCTGATCCTGACCGCTTCCGTGGTGTAGTTGATGGAGCGGAGGGTTGGTGGTTCAATCCTGTGTCCGAGTCATAAAATATTTTTGTGATACTGCTGCTGCTTCGCTGGTAGGCACACGTTTTAAAAAATGTTACAGGTTCAGGATGATGTTTCAGTTTGTAAAAAACAGTGTCTTGAGTGAAGTCTTTGAAGTTGGGAGAACATGAATGCATGACACTTTTTTAATGGATGGCAACTGATTGAATTCTTTGTATGACATTTCAGAGCTACTTCTTGTTCCTTCATCATTGTTTTGAGTGTAGAAAAAGAGACGCGGCAAACCCGTTTCATATTCACAAGAAATCTCTGCCAAACACAGGGTTGATTGCAAGGGTCAAATTTGGAAATGTCCTCAATACTATGGGGAACGGGGTAAACAATTACAAGCTTACTCATAAGGAAAGGGACTATAAATTATGTTAGCACTTTATCAAGTATCGGTAACATTTTCAAAATATACTCTTCAAAAATAGAAAAGTAAAACGGATAGTTTTTGCCATAAAGGCAAAATTAGCGGACCAAGAGGTGCACAATGAAGAGGTTTAATGTGTTGTAGTACCAGTGACAAATATCCCGGATTAAAATGATCACAACAAGGGCATGCAAACCATTAGATTGGGAAACACGTACCCTGTGCATTAACGAAAGAGCCATGGAGCTACTGCAGGTTATGCACGTGCAGCATCACCATGAACGGTATTAAAGTGCAGGGTTTTTAATTGCCTGGCATCTTCGTCAATCGAACAGTGACAGTAAAACAACACGCCAAGATTAACAGAAGTGCAAAGAAACAACGTCATAGGTCGCTTGCAGGCAGGGGAATCCCGATCAGCTGTAGCCAGGATTTTCAAAGTAGCGCCCAGCGCCATCACAAGGCTATCGGATCCATTTCAACAGCATGGGTCACCATGATCGGTCAAGGTCGGGAGGACCAAGAGTAACCACCCCCGCCCAAGATCACTACATCCGACTGTGCCATCTACGTGAAAGGACGACAACAGCCACCTCAACCGCATCCCAAATACTTGGACTGCGCAGAATCTCCTACCAGACCGTACAAAACCGTTTAAGAGCAGCAGGTCTACAAGCAGACGTCCTGCTCGACGCGTCATATTGAGTCGACAACATCGTCAACAACGACTGGGTATGGCCTCAACTGCGATCGAGAGATGTCTGGTTCAGTGACAAATCACTGATCAAGATTTCACCTCCGTCGAGGGAAAGGAAGAGCACAGGTCTACAGACGTCGGGGAGAACGTTACGCCGGAAACTACGTACATGAAGTGGACAAGTTTGGTTGGGTAGCGTTATGATGTGGGCGGCTATCTCTCATCATGACAGGACAGGTTTGGTCCATATCCAGGGCAATCTTACGACGATACACAACGTTGATGTTTTCCCCTGGCCCTCCAGATCCAAGGATTTGAACCCGATAGAGCACCTGTGGGATGAATTGGATAGACGGATACGCCGACGTCAACAACAACCCCAGACGTTGCAGCTGATGGCTTTTGCGTTGCAGGCCGAGTGGGGTACCATTCCCCAGGATGGGATTCGCATACTCGTCTATTCCATATCGGGCCGCTATCGATTCCAACGGGGGTCATGCTCGTTATTGATTGTGGCTTACCTTCACCTTGGACTTTTCCTATGTTCCGATAACTGAGATGACTACAATCACCAAGTGTTCTCACCACAACATTTTGGCTCAATACCTTGAACGGTTCCTCGTATAAATGTATTTTTCTATCTCACATATGGTTTTAGCAATAATTGTTTATTTAGAATTAATTGTTTACATTTGGTATGCCATGCAATATGTTTTCAAATTTTTGTATTGGAGCGGCATCGAGACATTATGAAATATACATGGTAATAACGCATTACAAATGTTGATGAAGAAAACCAATAGATTTAAGGTATAATGTATAATATATGTATTATATTAAATTGGAGATAACTGAGAAGTGAATTGTAGATGTGTTGTTGTGTTTTGTCTTCTTTTTCTCACTAAATGTACAAAATGAATGTTATTTTGGAAATATATTTTCAAATATGACAATACATACATATGGGGAAACATCTTTTGGACGTCTTCAAATTATCACTGATGACAATAAACTGTGGATATACTTTGACAAATTCCTTACTTTCCTCAAAGAAATGCAAACAGAAACTGATAAGCTGAAAGAAGAATTACCATTTTGAGGAACATTCAGACAGAACCTAACAGTATTCGCGCTAGTAAACAGAAGCATGTTGGTAAGGGTGGATTAGATCGGAGAGTCTGTGAAGAAGTTCCCATAACATTAGTCGCTTTCATAGGATTTAGTTGTGGTGTACTTTATGTACTTAACTATTGCCAGAATTGGTTGCACAATATGATGAAAAGCAAAGTTTGTAACTATTTCCTATTTCCAGTGATTGAAGAATGAATGGACAAACATTTTGCAGTTAACTTTAATCAAGTTGATAATGGCATGTTAGTATGTTGTAAAGTTAATATGTTCATCGGCTTCTTCATTAAAGTATATACAAGTAATCAAGCCATTTGCATGTGAACAAGCTGATGCATCCCTGTAAAGCACGTTATCTGCATCACTTGAAGCGAGTCAGAACAACGACCAAACAACTTCCATTGAAGCATTTGCTCAAAACGCTTTCCTTTAAGCACGAGTTTGGGTCGTTTCACTTGAAGCATGTGTTCCAGACATTCCTAAAGCACGCGTTTAAACCAACTTCTATTAAAGCACCTGTTCCAGAAACGTGACGTCCTGTGAAGTATGTATTCCAAGCACGTTCTTTCAGTCATATTCCGGAAGTTCTTCAGAGAAGCAAGCGTCTCGATACACATCACCATTGAACCACATGACATGTTCCAGATACACACACCTATCTTGAAGCAAGTGTTCCAGGCACTTTCCCTGAAGCACATTTTAATAACACTTTCTTTGAAACATGTATTTCAAACACATCCCTTGAGCACGTCCTCCCGACAACGACGCCACCAATAATACGTTCCCGGCCACCAATAAGACGTTCCCGTCCTCGCGAAGCACGTGCTCCACACATATCCTCGCTGATACTATCGTGTTTCAGACAATGAGAATCACAAGTCCTCTTCCTCTTTCATCGCCACCATGATCTTATCTGTATTTTCCGTCACCCACCTTTCGAAAGTGAGAGAAGAGCCACACAGCTTCTTCGTCACACGGATGTCTGCTACAGGATCCAAGGTCCTGTAGTGCTGGAACATAGCCGCTAGATCCCTGGCTCCACTGAACTTGAAATTCGCATAGTCTTCAACGCGAATCTAAAACAAAACAAACATTGATTTCCTTCAGATAGAAAAGCCAATAAAAACCTTTCTCAGTCATGAATCGGAAAGGGGACACGGGTGGCCCAGTCGTCTAAGGCGCTGCGATTCGCTGTGCAGAGTTGCGTCCCTTGGGCGAGCCAGAAACCTATGATTGTGGGTTCGAATCCTGGCTCGCCCCGATTATGTTTCTAGGTTTGTCAGCACCATACCCGTGGTTGTGAATTTCGTCGAAGTGGTAAACGTCTGAGGCCTGCATCACTTCGGGCTTTTGTCCCACATTAAGCTAACCCCCCTGTGATATAACTGTAATACTGTTAAAAGCGGCGTTAAACACAACTCACTCACTCACTCATGAATCGGAAAACAAACAAAGGAACCGCTCTCTGTCTCAAGTAGAGAAAACGTTCTCCACGGACAGGAGGTGGTCAGGCTCTGTGACTTTATGTCATCGTACCCGTCGACGTGGGACGTTGCTCATAATATCAACCACTGGTTTGTCTGGTTCATACTCGATTATTTGTAGGTCGTAATGTAGTTGACTGTGGCGTAAAACAACAAAGAAAACAAAAATCGTACCAGTGGACACACGAAGACGGTGTGACGCATGTGCTTGGTCAGTACGTCCGCCATCTGCTTGGTCGTGATTCTGTCCGCGGACAGGTTGACCGTTTGACCGAGATATGGTTTCGGTTTCAGGAATATGTTCAGGACACATCGCCCCATATCGCTCACGCTCATACTGTCAATTGAGTCGTCCTCTAGTGGCAAGGCTGTAGAAGAAAAGAAAAATCGTATTAGCCCAGTGGTTCAAGCGATGGCTCGTTACGCCTAAAACCCGATTTCGATTCCCCAAATTGGTACACCAGTGTTCACCTGCTGTGGTATTCTGGCATATTGCTAAAAGCGATGTAACGCACGACCCACTCAGGGCTATACACAATGTACCCATGAGTGGAATCGAACACGGGCCTTCGTCGTGACGCGTGAACACTTTAACCACTAGGCTAGGCCAGCGCCCCGAAAGAGCTGGAAGACAAGGTAACATCAGAACATCTGAAATTACGGGGAAATAATTGAAATAACAAAAAAATTGAAACAACGAGAGACAAATTTTTTTTACAAAAACATAATCGAAGTAACGGAAAAAACACACGAAAATAACGAGAATATAAACATAATTGAAATAACGAGAAATTAAAAAATAATAATTATGCTACCAAAGTGGCACCATTAGGCTTTCGTGGTTATCCGTTTCCTTCAACTACATAATACAAGGGTAGTTCTGGAGTAAATATGTTAAATGATTTTACTGTAATCAGTGTACCACCGTACACATGCGCATACATTTATTATGACATGGGGGCGGTGTGTTAGCCTGGCCGTTTAAAGCGTTTACTCGTCGCTCACCACTACCACTCTCCCACTCTTACTACATGATCGCTGTTTTAAAACATGATAATGTTATTGTATGTTAATAAGAGAAATATGGTTTTGATTTGAAGGTAAATAATACCTCAGAAACACACACACGGTACATGACAAGAGGTCATTATGAGTATAGATAAATGTATTTTGCAATCTCATTAATATCAGGGGGGCCCAGTCGTCTAAGGCGCCGCGATTCGCTGTGCAGAGTTGCATCCCTTGGGCGCGCCAGAAACCTATGATTGTGGGTTCGAATCCCGGTTCGCCCCAATTATGTTTCTAGGTTTGTCAGCACCATACTGTGCTCGTGGGTTTCACCGAAGTGGTAAACGTCGGAGACCTGCATCACTTCTGGCTTTCCTCCCACACTAAGCTGACACGCCGTGATATAACTGGAATACTGTTAAAAGCGGCGTTAAACCCAACTCACTCACTCACTCACTCACTCACTCATTAATATCAGATTTAACATGCATGTAGTTCTCGGTACCGATAAAGAAAGATCTTTGTTTAGCGCCCCTCATGGTTTATTCTCCCTGCAGTGTTATATTGTACGATAAACAACCCCCACTCGTCGTTTACTTCTCAATTAAAGTTCTCCATCCTTGTCGTGGATGACAAGGTACAGAACTTTTAGAACGGAGGCTTCTCGCGAAGCAATTTCGCAGGTGAGGTGAGGTGAAATTGGGTTTAACGTCGCGTCCAAGATTATTGCACTTATATAGCGACGTGCATGCACGTGTATGTGTGTGTGTGGCTGCTTGTACTAGTCCGGACTGATGCCGATTTATAGTGCTAGCTCACTGAGATACCATGCCGCAGATTAACATGAATACCCCACTCAGTCACAGTATACTGACTCCGAGCCGACCAGTCCTTGTTTAAGCCCCTTAATGCCGAGCGCCAGACAGGGTAACAACAAGTACAATCTTTTAACGTCTTTTTGTATGACGCGGCCCGGGATCGAACCCTGGAGCTTCCGCTCTCCGGGCGGACGCTCTACCACAAGACCACGGAGGCGGTCTGCAATTTCGCAGGAAATCTGAGTATAAAAACTTGAATGATGAGTGAAGTGGGTGTTACGACAGGTTATTGAAGCTATCGTAAAATATATCTTTATTCACGTCAGGGATTCACTTCAGCCAGTTTTGTTTTTGTTTTTTATTTACATGTAGTAATGCTGTCGATGGTGGAAACAATATTCATTATATCTCAGTTTGGGGGCCTATGTTAGTTCGGGGTATAACTTCTGCACTTCTGAATTAGACGTGTACGTGTGGTTACTTGTCCCCACTTCGGCAAGCACCCGGCTCAGTGTTACCCGACTTCCAACTCACTTATTGCATAGTTTGCCTCCTTTAATCTGTGTGGCTTGAATACGGTCAGCAGGTTCTCATAGAAGAAGGGCATCCTCAACAGCGTGTATGGTACATCTGGCAAGGACAAAATAATTCAAGGAAATGAAAAACATATAGGGAGAGAATCTCACCCCAGCACCTACCGAGCTTGAGCACCTAGACAAGCCTCGGAGTTTTTTCTACTTTTATCAACTCGTGTTGATATATTTGATATCAAAAGACACGTGGGTGAGATTTTATTTATCATCCAACATCATTCTTCAAACTTTTTCAGTTTGTAGACAGTAATAAGCAGTGTCTTAAGTGTAAAAAGTACAGCTAACAGCTTCAGTAACAGAGCCATTAGTGATATGATTTGATTGTGACGTCATGGTAACCAATGGCAAAGCATTGTGACGCAATATAGATATCGCTTGATCTCACCCAAGCGATATCTCCTGTGGGAGCCAGTTTTGGACGATAAATAGAGAATACTACAGTCATTCTCGTTAGATACCATTTTTACAAAACGAGTGGACTTTCTAAGGTATCTGACCGAGCGAAAGCGAGGTCAGATACCATAGAAAGTTCACGAGTTTCGTAAAAATGGTATCTAACGAGAATGAGTGTGGTATTTTATTATATTACCCACGTTAAATATATATTTAAGTGTAAATACATAACAACTTTCGTTCGTTGACCGACCAAACTGAAACCGGTTGCAAAATCTGGTTGCGCATGAATATTGATATATGCCCAAATATGGGCATTGTTGACATGTCTATGCATACGCACAAACAACATGCCCCTGCAGTTGTGTTTGCAAACAAAACAGCACCGACGCTCAAGATTCTTTTGGAAGAAATTCTTCAACTTATGGTAATTCAAGCGCCATGTTGTTAGAACGAAGGACACCTATATGAAAATTTGAAAAGTCAGATTAGCGCCGCGCTTTGACTATCGGACTAACAGCCGGTCACTCGCACTGTCGGTGTCCCGTCTGTGCAATCAAAATGGTTCGGTTTCCTTGATCTATCAGCTGAATTTATATCATATTCGTACTATTTTGGAAGAGGGAAATCAGAGTGTTCGCCAAAGACATTCATGTTAACTGTACCACCCTATACTGAAGACGTGAAAATCAACAAACTCAAGTCTGCTTGCATGTCAGTGACAGCCTCGAACGATCGAAGGGCAAGGTCACCACCGGAATAAGAAAAGACAACCGTGATCTAGGCCTACTCAGAGCGTTTTACGCTAGAGATAGGGAATGTTATTGTTCTCATTTGGGATGTTTTGGGCCACAAAATCAGAAGTCAGGCACAATTCCACGGAGTTTTCGAATGATTTGTATCAGAACTGTTCACTTTTGGTGATTTGGTAGTGCAGTCGTGTACGTTCATTCATGAACAACACCTCCCGAAAACAGCGCCCAAAAAAAACGCTTCGAAAGGGGCACTGATGGCACAACCGGATCATCCCAAGTAAGTCTAAATATCTGTCCAGATAGTTTAAACATACTTCATTTCACCACGCTTATCCCTTTACGTTAAATCAAATTGAAAGTTGCGAAAGTGGTCGGGTGCGTCACGGTCATGGGGGCCCTCGATCTATTGATCGGTAGTCGTACATTGTAAATGGATATAGCTCGATTATATAATGTCTGTAGAAGCTCTATCCATAACTTATATATAATGCAAACCGAATTTGATGCGTGTGACTATTTTGTTTGGTTTAATAAAGTGTTTGTAAATATCGCTCGTTCTCATTAATTTCTTCAGTTCTGCCTTGTGGTTGCAAAATGAATGACGTCTCGCGATTTTTTATGAATGAAAAAAGTAGTCCCGGTGAGACAGAGGTCACGGTTATCCAATCAAAACGAATAAAACAAGGTCAACCTTGTACGACACACATGTGACGTACGGATTTAGTATCATACCACCTGTATCTTCAACACGTGGGTAATAAAAATTTCTACCACCTAAGGCATGGCGATATCATGCATGAGAATCATCTATATATTCATCATATGGACCACACGGCCATCGTCATAGTGGGGAGAGCCAGAAACAAAACAATAATATCCCAGGAATGAGATAGGTAATGTGTGATCTACCTACTGGGTTGTTAATAACTAAATCAATACTCTAAAACACCTAGCTACCTGATTGGCCAGTCATTGGACTGCATGACGTCACAGTGTTGTGAGGTCACTTGCATGTGGCGTCACAAGTAACTTAGTTCCCACACTGGGTTACCGGACGGCGGGCTCAGTGTAGTCACAAATGTATCTCACAATAAAATACCCTTTTATCTTGCGAACTAACAGGGACAAATGATCAGTAGCAGAGTATACAGGATTTTACGAGCAGCACTTTCCTGTGCATCCCTCGACCTTCAGGCTCTTGGTTTGTTTGCTTGTTTGTTTTTTAACGCCGCACTCAGCAATATTCCAGCTATATGACGGCGGTCTGTAAATCATGAGCATCGATCTACGCGATTGAGATACGATGACATGCATCAACCAAGTCAGCGAGTCTGACCACCCGATCCCTTTAGTCGCCTCTTACGAGAAGCATAGTCGTTTTTTACGACAAGCATGGCTTGTTGAAGACCTATTCTACCCCGGATCTTCACGGGTCTCGCCCCCAAGTACCAAATGGAACGGCGTAATGTTGGCTTCCTTGATAATCATAGTCATTCTCAATACTGAGAATTGATCAATTGATGCCATATGACATCACGGTGCTTCATTGTTGAGAAAAATACGATATGACGTCATGCATTGTTTATGATGTCACAAATTGATTACATTACGTCATTTGAACAACAGGCTGCCTAAGTGGAGATGCTCTATAGTACGGAAGCCTTTTAGGGCCATTTTTTTTTTTTTTTTTTCCCTTAATATTTCAAGATACTGACTTGAAATGTCAAGATATTAACGTAATATTTAAGCTAATAACTTGAAATTTCAAGAAAAAACAAAAAAAAATACAAATGGCCCTAAAATGCTTCCGTACTATAGGATCAACATATCATAAACCTTTAAAAAATCCGAATGTTTGATATATGGACTAACCAAGGAATTACAGATTATCTGTCACTAGTGAATGAATTCTGTTCTACGCAAAAGGTTCGCGACATACACTATTTATTCACTCGGAAAAGATAATCCGTCGGGGCTAACAGCATTAATTCAATTGGGGCAGATAATCCGTAAATTGCTCCTTGGTTATTCAATAAACGTTTACAGGTAAATACGACATGCGTCAGTACATCACGCTGTCTACATTACACGGGTCTCATTTTAAACAACTGCCGAAGTTATTTTGGTGGGAGCTCACACCGGACTCGGTCGGGCACCGTTTAACAATCCACTAGTTCTCCACTATCCACCCTCATCTTAGGAAACAGCGTCAACCTGTCATCATATAGTTACAAATAGTAAAAGTACCCCGTGGGGATTCCAGGTTAGAATAGATCCCCAGCAACCTACGCTGGTCGTAAAGGGGCGATCAAATGAACTAGGTTGTCAGTATCGGTGACTTTGTTGATAAGCCGACTATACTTGCCGTGAAAGGCGACTATGCTAGTCGTAAGAGGCGACTATAACGAGATCGGGTGGCCAGACTCGCTGACTTGGTTCATGCATGTCATCGTATCCCAATTGCGTAGATCGATGCTCGTGATGTCAATCACTGGATTGTCTGGTCCGGACTCGATTATTTACAGACCGCCGTCATATAGCTGGAATATGGCTGAGGGCGGCGTTAAACAACAAACAAACAAACAAACAAAACGTGTCATCATAACTGGACGGCGTGGAAGGTTGTTCATAATATCAATCACTGGTTTGTCTGGTCCAGGCTGCATTTTGTACAGGCCGCCGTCTCATAGCTTGGATAGCGCTGAGTGCAGCGATAAACAACAAAGAAAAATCAGAAAGTAATAAATCTACAATAAAACAAAAACAGCCTACCCTGGGACATCAGATACTCTTCTAACTCAGCCTTTGCTTCAAAGGGGCCACATTCAGGTACTTTCTCGGGGTCGGGAGCCTCAGATCCATACAGAACAAGATGGCGGATGTTGCAGTTAACAGCAGCATCTATAGCGTTTGTGCCCTTTGAAAGAAAGGTTCCTGATAACGCTGGATCAGTCTTCACTTTATTGTAATAAAATTAAAATAATTTTGTCTCAAATTACCTAAAGCAAGCAAACAATCAAATTTCATATGCATTCGGAACACACCATGGAGGAGGAAAAAGTATATCTCGGATTTTGTATATAATTTAGAATTCATATTGCAAAGAGGCCTAGGGAATACTTCGTGTAGCTGCTAATTCCATAAATATGTTTTTGTACTTGAAATAACTTGATAACTTAATGGAAGTGTGAGTGTTTCGTAATTGACATTCCCCCAAGGGAAATAACTCTCACCTGACTGATTTCCTTTTCTTTGCTGAAGTGCTCCCAGTAGTGCGTTGTCAGGAAGACTGCATGAGCTCCCTCGAGCACGCGCTCCAAGCTCCGGGGATCATTGAGATCAGCTGTACTTATCACTGCACCTGCAACACGCACATCGCATGCTGATGATGTCTTTATCCATACGCTGGAGACATCATCATGGATAAAAGGCAGTCAAAGAATTCAGCGTATTATTTGGAGTGAGTGAATTTTACGCTGTTTTAAGCATAGTTTCAACCATATGATAATAATACATAAAAAGTGCTTCACACCTTGAAACCCACAAAGGGACGCAAATGACGTGAATAAAAATCAACGTCTTGACCAAAACCCCAGCACCCCACATGTTAGGAAAAACATCCCAATGTATGAACCCACTGCTGCAAGTATAGTTGAGGACAATCTACAACATCAATACATTTAACCTAAAGCAGCTCTTACACTTTGCCGAGGTGGTTGCCGAGCTCTCCCGAGCCTAACTCGGTCGCCACGAGGGTACCACGAGTAGGGCGAGTGTGTTACGAGTTTGTTAGGAGTTGGCTGGCGCCACGAGTGTTTTGAGCAGTTCCAAAACTCTCGTAGATCAGTACGAGGTATCCCGAGTTACCCCGAGTTTAGTACGACCTCTCTACGAGCTCCATGCGAGTACCCCCGAGTCAGCTCGGGTCCATACTCGGGACGCAACTCGGCAAAGTGTGCGAGCCCTTTATGTCTCAAAACCTAGCTAGACAGTATCGCATTCGTGCTGACCCTGTGTCGGAACGATGCGTTATTTAATTCACAAATTGTATTGTGCCATCCTTGTCACAAAGCATTCATGGTAACCATGACGACAATAAATTGCCGGGCAAAAGAAAGTAAACACCAATGTTTGATGGTGGCTAAAAATGAAACAAACAAGAAATGGTTATACGATGGTGATGAATCAATGTGTTTGGGGCTTAAGTCGGCATGTTTCGGCGACTCTTTTCAACCTACGAGAACTTTTATAACGTTTGGTCAAGCCCAATTTTCAAGTATATACTTTCTTTTGCTCGGCAATTTATAAATATATATCGTAACACAAATAGATCTGGTTGGACAAAAGGTCAGACAATAATTACAGTTTGTGTATAATATTAGTGTTGAATCATATGTAATTGAATTTTCGTTGAGTTCATTGCAATTCCTGCATTCTGAATGACTGAACTGGTCACGTGTTATTGCATTCATTTGGAAATGAATGTTAAAAATTAAGCCACGCCCACCGAGGCGGACTACTTTTATTACTACGGATCGAATGTCGGGGAATCCCAATATTACAGCCGAGGGAATTCCCTTTCTGCTCACGTGTATCGTCATGCACTGAACATTTAGCAAATTCATGCATATTCATTGTCCAAACCACCCTTTCAGACCGAAGACCGAGAAGGAATGAAAGAACAAACGTGCATGCGTGTTTTTTCCAACTCGTCTCGGTTCCCCAACTTTCAAGTCTTCGGGTTTCATTTCTAACTAGCATTTTTTTAACTGTGTCTTCCCGTTCTCGGGGAACTAAAGTTTGAATCTGGTCATTTGAAACAGCGGCCTTCTTTCGGACATATTTGTTCCGGTTCGTTACAGTTTGACCGTTGTACTTCTTCTTGCCTCTTCCCTTGATTGACAGGTCCTATGAACAGTGTTTTGATCCTACTCTCCGTTGATTGGCTACTGACTTTGTAGGCGTGTCAATTTATGTGCATAAATGAAACAATCACCTGATTCATGTCACGCCACAGTATGTATTCCTACACCTGGAATGTTTATCAATGTCGTCATTTTTGACTGTCGAATTTATTTATAAGCATTGACTGTGTATTTTTTCGGTTCATTGAGGTATGAATCGAAAAACCGATGTGCTCATTTTGTAAGAATCCGCTACCTTGCTCGGCGTCTATTACGTTGACGTTAGGGTATGATTGTAAATGGTATCTAATTTATGCAATAGTTTATTAACAGGGGCGCCGTTGTCTCTGGGAGGAACAGGAAACTTGCATCATCAATTTTCAATGATACCTGGTCTCACCTTTCTCAGCTAGTTCGTTTGCGCGACCACTCGTTGGGGTGCGAGTGACAGCGATGACCTTGACTCTTGGACTTTTGACCAGTGCCGACGCCACAGCTCCTCCCACCATTCCAAGAGCTCCGAATACCACCACTTTGAGCGGGTCTTCTTCGTTACCCACGCTCGCGCCGCAACCCATACTGAAACAAAAGCATTTAGTGTTCACGTGTAAACAGTTTGGTCAGTATCCGAAAAGCACACTACCATTACCGAAATTGCCTTAGATATTTAGTTCGCGCTGTATGAACATATTGTCTTTGGTCATGGACTTGTTCTAGGCTAACGTTTGGGGGATAACACGACGTTCCAGAAAAAAAGTGGCGTTTGTGAAGGTTATAGTGCTCTTACATACACGTGTGTAGGGGTTGGGTACCACCGACCTCCTGCTTGCCGGACCAACGCTCCATCCACTACACCACTGCGATGTCTCTAGATGTCAGTTATGGGCAAGTAAACACGACAGTAGGTGAACAAATCCGTTGTCAATAAACAGTAATATATACTAAATGGGCCGTGTGTTGCTGTTAATCAGTGGTTAGGCCTCCAGGACATCCTACGCATGTCCATTGGGAACTGTCATGCTCTGTGAGACATCCGGTTGTGTGTAAGATGCCGTATCTTCACACGAGAATCGGGGAACTCGATGCATGGTCAGCTTATTGTATAGGGTTACCATAGCACAGTGAAATACGTCGGTACCTGTTCAGCATCATAAAATTAAAGTATGTTTTGTTTTGTTTGTGAGTTTGTTGTTTAACGCCGCACTCAGCAATATTCCAGCTATATGACGGCGGTCTGAAAATATTCGAGTCGGAACGAGACAGTCCTGTGATTGACATTATGAGGATCGACCTACGTCATTGGGATACGATGACATGCACCAACCAAGTCAGCAAGCTTGACCACGCTCAGTCGCCTCTAAGGACAAGCATGGGTTGCTGAAGGCCAATTCAACCCCGGATCTTGTACATGCATGGTACGTGGTGACGTTGTGGCGACGTGTAAGGTGAATATTGACAGGAAACCACAAATGATTATATCGAGGACGTTCACCCACGAGTCTTGTATTGACAAACCCACAGTAATCAGGGCGAAACTATATTGTAAACATCGCGCTATTCGCAATTACTAACTTAATCACTGCACTAGCATAGCACGTAAGACAGTGTGTGAAAGGAATAACACTATATGTATATATGTTTCATATTTTAATAACATATTAAACCAAAAACACAATTTTATGGATCACTGACTTCGCGCCATAAGTGTGACGTCAGCATATTATCTCTTCATAAAAGCACTCTATGCATAGCCATAGTGCTAATATACATATTTTGTCTGTTTTACTCCTATCATTATTATATACATCATATATAATATGGACAGTCAATTGTCACCTGTCAGCCTGGTAGGATTGGCCGACAGCACTCAAAACTTTTCTCATGTTGACGTTTCGTGTTACAGGCAAATAAATACATTTTAAAAGAAACTCCGTCTTCAATATTTGTCAGGGACGACTAAAAGCCTGAACCTGCGACAGGAATAATCGGCTAAAGATTATCAGTGCCTTCAATCTCCCGGTCAGTTTCATGTGGGAACAAAGGGAATAACCGGTCATCACTACGGTGAATTCGACAGACACGGGAAAGGTGTACAAAATCAAAGTTAAATTTGGGTGAATATTGGTTTCGAACTAAATAGCTGATGTGAGACCACTGGACCACCGTTCATGCAGGGTCAGTAGATCAGAAGGGCGACAGTGTGTGAGTCCGTTGAGTCAATTATGTATCAGATTGACGAGCTGATGCGGGAAGGTCGGCTATTGATCCATGCAGACTTGATGGCTACGGCAAAACAACATGTTCCTAGCAACCACGTGGCGACGGTGTGCTTCCCACGTCAGGGCCCCGTTCTACAACTCGGTTCTAGCAGGTTGACTGCCATAGCTCCCGTTCTTTAACATGGACTTATAGACAGTCGTGGCACTAAAAAGGCTTTGTGAAATCAGAGCATGGTTAAGGAGGTTAGATCCTTGGGATATTTGAGGGTAAATGTGACATTGTTTAGGAGATGGCTGTGGGTCAATACACTAAATAGGACACTTATCTGAACAGTGAGTGAGTGAGTATGGTTTTACGCCGCTTTTAGCAATATTCCAGCAATATCACGTCGGGGGACACCAGAAATGGGCTTCACACATTGTACCCATGTCGGGAATCGAACCCGGGTCTTCGGCGTGACGAGCGAACGCTCTAACCACTAGGCTACCCGACCGCCCCTTATCTGAACAGAGTGCCCCAGGATCCTTCATGGAATGAACGGTACAACACAACATTACGTATTGAAAATGTCAACAGATAAAGCAAAACCATCAAGGGTTGTTTTAAGCAGGGACAACCTCCCACGTCAGTCCTTCATTCGTACCCTATTGATTGTGTTGTCTATTTTATGTACAAATGGGAATTTCAACGGGCCTGTCTGTCAATAAACTACAAGCAGTGGGCCTGTCACAAATCTTCATACTTATATTTGTATAACCACTTTTATGTGTGTCTTGCCATGGTCTTGTTTTAAAACAGCGAATGAAATAACCGAGTGAGTATGGTTTTACGCCGCTTTTAGCAATATTCCAGCACTGTCACGGCGGGGGACACCAGAAAGGGTCTTCAAACATTTTACCCTCGTGGGGAATCGAACCCGGGTGTTCGGCGTGACGAGCGAACGCTGTAACCACCAGGCTACCCGACCGCCCGAATGAAAGAAGACAACCCGATATGAGTGAGTATTGATTTCCAACAAGGAAAGTGTTGCAAGTACATTCAATGAACTTGGAAACAACCACAACGTAAAAGTCTGGTACAAAGTGTACCCTGGTGGTCACATAGAAAAGGAAAGATAACTCTAATTAAAGACCAAACAGTATATAATGCGGAATGGCTGAATTCTGAACCGGGAAAAAAACATTGACCAGCTTGGTTAAAATGACTCCTAAGATGATGAGAAACATTTTTTTCTTTCCTCTTGGCCTAGCTTCCCGCAGGCGTAGCTTCCCTGTAAGTACTTAGACTGAACTCATAGTGATGTCCCTCTCTTGCATTATATATAATATACTCAACAAAAAACTTAGGATGATAAACATTGTGGGGAATAATTTTTGAGTGGAAGACAGCACACAATTATATAAAAAATTATCCCCAATAATGTCCATGATCCCTAAATTCTTTTGTTTCCTTATATATTGACTGAGAGCAATGCCTTGCCTTTCCTTGTATAGCTCATAGACACAAACAGATATGTCAGAAGAAAAAGGGTCTCAAGATTTTAATGTTTGTATTTACAAATAAGTAACATTTCTACCTGTGTCTGTAGCTATAATTGCATCATGAGTCTTTGTAATTGATATGTCATCATTAGCCACAATCCAATAGCAGTAATCCAACTCCGTCGCTCGGCAGCTAAGACCATAGCAACGCTCTCTGTGTCGTGACACGTACATTCTTAACGAGAAGAATTTAAAATTACTCAAATTACTAAGAAATATGTGATATGCCATTTTGTTCTTTATTGGGGATAATACTTTCTGGCTTTAAGACCTAATCAGAAAAATCAAATTATTAACGTACATCCATTAGTCTAACAAAATATGAGAAAAATATATCCACAGGGAATTTTCTGTCATCGCAATTTAGTTATACGTCAATTGGCAAAATACCAGCCGCGCAGCATTCTTTTTTAATGAAGGGTCTACATTGCAATTTTTTATACCGTATTTACTATTAAAAGCATCGGTTTCTTTTACATTTCAACCTAGAATTGTAGCATTAGCAAGACAAATATTGACCAAAAATGTAGGACAGAAATATGGATGACAATATTACACAATTTTGTATCCAAGAAACGTATAACAATCTTTTCGTCGATGCGATGAATTATACATGGACATACCGTTCTCATGGTTATGAGGCAATAATCGTGGCGGATTGTTACATTACAAGCATGATTTGACATTGTAAATAAAATACAATATTCGATGAAATGTCAACACACGAGTAATCGTTATCCGTTCCTACTTTCACAACCCCATCTGCATTAACAAATAAAGATTTGCAGACCGGTGCTTCGGCGGGACGAACAATCGCTTTAACCACTAGGCTACCCGACCGCCCATTCATTCATTCATTCATTCATTCATGTACTAGAAACAACAATTGAATTATGCGAGCCTTTCCATGTCTCAGTACTGGATGTCACAGAAGAATGTATTACCTAAGGTGTCGTTTGTCGAGTTTTCTCGGCCATGCCTGCTTTAATCTATCGTTAACAAACTCCTTTAATTCAGTATTTGAAGTATACTTTTCGTTCGATAAAAACGAGTCGATGGTTATCTTTATCTGTTCTCATTTATTTATCGGGGCATGGTTGGCTTGTGTAAGTTTAAACATTACAAAATCATAAGCGTCAGCAAAATACATGCCTGCATACGCCGTCGCCTGCCAATATGTGATGACCGTCAGATAACGCACAGTACCAAATGGTATATATACTGTAATCATAATCACCCTTTGAGTCCCTGTACAGTTGTAACGCGATACTGACACGCCAAACAATACATTTTGACTATTTCTGTGTCCTCGGATACTAAGATAGAGGAGTTCATGTATTTATATATCATAATAGGCTCTCAGAACGGAACTGCACTCTAGTTACGGCAATAATGTGTATTGTGACGGCCATTCACGTCAGCACTATTGTATCAGCTAGGTGACCTTTAATGGAGAGTCTTGATGTACGAAGATATCACATCTACGACTGTTTATACTGCTAATACTATTATGAATTAAAGCTTGACATATAGGTAATGTTGGTATGTTATGTTTGTCTCTGAATGAAATATATGTTTAGGTTGTGTGTGTGTGTGTGTGTGTGTGTGTGTGTGTGAGTGTATTGTATTTATTCAATTCATTTGTTTTTTTGGTTTTTTTCATTTTGCTATTTAAATATGGGTATGTTTTGTTTGAATGTTTGTTGTTTAACGCCGCAATATTCCAGCTATATGACGGCAGTCTGTAAATAATCGAGTCTGGACCACACAATCCAGAGATTGACATCATGAGCATCGATCCACGCAATTGGGATACGATGACATGCATCAACCAAATCAACTAGCCTGACCACCCGATCCCGTTAGTCGCCTCTTACGACAACCACAGTGGCCTATTACGGCAAGCATGGGTTGCTGAAGACCTATTTCTTCACGGAAAAAAATGAACGACTGCAGGGAGAATAAACCTTGAGGGGCGCAGCTCATCTTCTCCCTGCAGAGTCTTATTGTACGATAAACAACTCCCACTCATTGTTTATATATAAAAAACGTCATTATAACATATAATGGTGGATGACGTCACAAGGAGGTATGTATTGTAAATTTAGAAATAAATCGTGGAAAATTAAGAATTTCGTCGATTTCTACTTAAATTAATTAAGAGGATTACAAACCGAATATACATTGTGACGATGTTTATCTCATCTTCTGTTTTAATGTTAAACATCATACATTTCAAGTTTGTGTAAATATCTTCTTTTTCAATGTATAGTCACTAGTGACAGGTAGCTGTCATTTTCAATATTGGTACGTCATTTAAATAAACATGGAATAAGAACACACGGATGACGTCATGCCATTCCTTATATATACAACTTAAAATTTGATAGAGGCCCTGTAGTAAGCGTTGATGAGTGAGTGAGTGAGTTGGGTTTAACGCCGCTTTTAACAGTATTCCAGTTATATCACGGCGTGTCAGCTTAATGTGGGAGGAAAGCCCGAAGTGATGCAGGTCTCAGACGTTTACCACTTCGGTGAAACCCACGAGCACGGGTATGGTGCTGACGTCGACAAACCTAGAAACATAATTGGGGCGAACAGGGATTCGAACCCACAATCATAGGTTTCTGGCGTGCCCAAGGGACGCAACTCTGCACAGCGAATCGCGGCGCCTTAGACGACTGGGCCACCCGTGCCCCCTAACTGTTGAAGAACTCTGGGGACATTTTATTGAAATGTATACGTGCAAACCTTGAATGGCTAGAAATAGGCATGTTCACTGATAGTAACGGATGCCGTTCCTATCAACATCTCCGAGCAATCAGTCAATACCAGCTCCCCGCGGGCTTTAAGAGTATGCAATATATGACGTCAACGCCAGAGAATAACCAGTATCCGTTCTCTGGCTACACAGATTCCATGGGCGTAAATGCATTAATAGTGGTAAGAATTATATGAATGGATGACTGAAAATCTGTAAACTATGTAAACACCAATCTCATTAAAATCAGATCTTAGTTCTCGCTACCGCTAAACAAAGATCTGAGGACATCCCATTACGGGTCACGTCAGAACGACCTTTTATCCGACCAATCAGAGCGTCGCTTACCAGATCATGAAAGTGACAGTGGGAATGAGTTTTCTAATTATGCAACCTCGAAATATTTAACAGAGGGTATTCCATACAATCTAAGCCATCTATTAGCCTTTCCAGAATGTTCTTTTGATGAGTTTTATTTTTTTTATCGAGAATACGTCAAAATATGTTTCGAAGCGTAATCGCCAGTTTGAAACTAGTGTCGTAAAGCTCGAGAAAGCTGCCTTCTGATTGGCTACTGTCGATTTCTTGTCAGTCATTTCATTGGTCGGTCAAAGTTCGCGAATGGTCGTTCTGACGTGACCCGTAATGGGATGTCCTCAGATCTTTGTTAGGCAGTAGCGAAAACTAAGATCTGATTGTATTGAGATTGTGTCAACACTAACTATTTAAAGAATGTCAATACATTTTTACATATTTTTACAAACCTTTCACGTGTAAGAAAAATGCTTTCAAATGATTACTACACAAGATTACATGGCCCATCTTTGCAAAATACAGAAGAACACGGATATAACGAACTACAAGGGACCGGAAAAATCAGTTCGTTATTTACGTTGTTCGTTATATACGTTTTCTGTATGCTGTAGTCGGCAAAATATATACGCCATTCATTTCCTTATGAAACCATCAATACGTACCTCAACACTTTTTATGAGCATCGCCATGAAACGTAATAGCTATCCTCAAAGAAAAACCGTACATGTATTGTACACTATTAAAATACATGCCATATGTGTCATAAATTCAACTCGACTGATAATGTTTGGCGTCATTTGTAATGGAAAGACGTCACTTTGAGATGCAGAGACGTCATTAAGCATTGAATGACGGCGTCTCCGTCTATAACAGACAAGCCCACGCGTGTGCAGAATTAGAGACACAAATCGTTATGCGTTATGCGTTACATGTCAATGACATTTGTTTTCTTGCATCGATATATTGATAAAGCCTGCTCTCTTGTATGATAGCTAATCGGATACGGTAGCATCTAGTCTGTCTTCGGGGCATCTATAGGTATTAAAGTTATTGATTCGCCTTTGATTGATAGTGACAACAAGGACACCGCCGCCCTGATGCGTCGGGCTGTTTAACGATCACTAAGATTCGCACCCAGCTTGTACTCAAGTGCTATTGATCGATCTTTGATTGACATCGACAACCAGGTAAACAGGTATTCGTGCATTGTGACAAAGGAACTGACAGTGCCTTTGAACGACCTAACTCTGTGAAGGAAATAAACGAATGACAGACTGACAGAAGAAATAAGCGAATAACAATGACAGAATAGTGTCGATGGATGGATGGATGGATTGATGAGTAAACGAATGAATGAATGAATGAATAAATGAATGGTGGTTGGTTGTGGGAATGAATGACTGAACAAAAGAATGAACGAATGATTGTTGGTTGTGAGAATGACTGAATAAATGAATGAATGATGGATGGTTTGAATGAATGAATGAATGAATGATTGTTGTGCGAATGAATGAATATATGAATGAATGATGGTTGTTTGGAATTAATGAATGAATGATGGTTAGTTGTGGGAATGAATGAATGAACGAACAAAAGAATGAACAAATGATTGTTGTGAGTATGAAAGAATAAATAAATGAATAAATGATTGTTAGTTGTGAAAATGATGAATAAATGAATGAATGAACGATTTTTTTACTTCGCTAGCGATTCGATGCATTAAGGTCACATGTAAGGCATATACCGCTACATCCATAATTCAGGGTGATGCCATCGTTTCATAAATCAGCTGGCATTAAACAGTAACATGGAGGAACAGTTTATGATCAGGATAAAGATTCCACCTCATCAATACCGTCGACGGGATTGTGTATGCATGTGTGTGTTTGTGTGTGTTTGGCTGCTTGAACTAATCCGGACTAATGCCGATTTTATAGTGCTAGCCCACTCAGACACAATACACAACTCAGACACAGTATACATGTACTCCGAGCCGACCAGTCCGTGTTTTAGCCTCTTATTGCCGAGCGCCAGTCAGGGTAACAACAAGTACCATCTTTTAACGGCTTTTGGTATGGTGCGGCCGGGGTTCGAACCCCGGACCTTCCGCTTTTCGGGCGGACGCGGTCTACACAACTGTGATAATATAGCTTAAAACTACATAATGTCTTAAAAGATGTAATTGTAATAAGTATTTAAACGACGCATTCTTTAAACATTTCTGTCCTTTCAACAACACATACGGTAACACAAATATATTTAAAGCAAATTATATTAAATATATACAGAAGAACACACAACGAAACATCAGAAAAGAAGGAGAAAGCAAATACCTAACATATAACAACGTACAATTCAATGCACAACAATCACGACCTGTGTGTAAATGACATACCTGTTTAAGTCAGATTGGCCGGAACAGCCAGGGAAGAAGGCTGGCATCCCAATCACCTCTGAACCAAGTGTCCTACAAATCTACATCTCAGCTCCTGTCACGCCAGGATATCACAGCCCCTGCCTCACTAAATCTCATGAAGACGCACGCCTTCTTGTCTTGCGACAGACACGCGGCAATCGCTTCACAACTATACGTATATCACGTGCTGCCGACAACAGACCAAGAACCATAAGTTCACCGTTCCTGACGTCAGGCGGGCGCGGGAATGACACTACATAACAACTGAAAACAGTATACCGGTTGTGAAATCAACATGAATGAAGAAAGAGTTGTTGACATAAAGAATAGGAAGATGCTATATAAACATCCATGTTGGTATGTTGTGGTCGGATCGAAATGCGCCTCGCAACACAGAGGCATTCAATGCCGACGTACACTATATCCTTGCCGTGGTACGTTCTCCCAGTGATCTGCCACCTAAAACAATCGATAGTCATAGGGTCTTGCGCACTGGAATTAAGACACATAAAGCCATTGGTCTGAAGGCTTTCAACCATGTCCTCTTTAGAGGGATCACAGATTATACATGTTTGGTATAATAGCTTCACAGTCACACTGACCTGTGATATCACGTGGCATGAGATTGATACCACGTTCATAATAACGCGTGTATTAGGTGTGGGTATGTGTTGCCTAAGGTGTTGCTTTAAACCCGTAAACGCATTTTGTTCTTAACAGACTTAGGAACAATGCACGAGGATAGGTACATGTATACGAATATGTCGCATTGTAGAAACTAATGCAGTTTTTGAGTAAGTAGATTATAATAACTATAATATGAATTACGTTATAGATACAAAATAATTCGTGATTACCAACGTGTCTTTCAAATTGCTTAACCAGCCGCAATTGAGCCCCGGGTTGAAGGCCTTCCAACATGTCCTCTTTAGACATACGATATGTTTGTCTGAAGGGGGAGCCTAGACTTACATTTAGTCCTTTAAATAAACTTATCTTATTTTAAAATAATTTTATATATCTTATATTTATAATATATCTACAAAATAAAAAGTAAAATTCAAATGGGTTCGGAACAATGCTTATGTTTTGGAACTGGGGCAATCTAAGACTTGTCAAATGATTCTAGACTTGAGTTGGATTCAATTATAATTTATTCTCTTTGGTCTGGTAAACAGACTAGGAGGAGCTCTTTAATTATATCTCAGGACACGCCTTCTTTAGGGTATCCAGAATTTCCATGAACAATTATTTCGTGTGTGTAAAATATAATCTCAATGTGTTTTGGAACTAATCATTGTTACCCAATAGCCCTTGACTACACCCCACCCCTAATACTCGACTTGAGGTACGCGGTAGCTAAGTATTGAACTATCCTATTTATGTTATGGAGCTTTTAGCCATTTGCTATTTTTTTCGAAGATAGAAACGCATTGAAATTGACAACGTATAGCGGGCATTATGGACGAGATGTATTTAAAGGATATACTTTGCATGGACAATCCATGAAACAAATACTGGCGCATTGAATAAAAACTGTTCTAATACAGAAGTGACGATGACTGTGATGTAATATGACGCCGGGTAAACTTGTGACTACGAGTGAGTGAGTGGGTAAGTGAGTATAGTTTTTCGCCGCTCTTAGCAATATCCCAGCAATATCACGGTAGGGGACACCACAAATGGGCTTCACACATTGTACCTATGTCGGGAATCGAACCCCAGGTCTTCGACGTGACGAGCGAACGCTTACAATCACTGGATTGTCTGGTCCATATTCGATTATTTACAGACCGCCGTCATATAGCTGGAATATTGCTGAGTGCGGCGTTAAACAACAAACAAAGAAACAACTTACGGACATCGTTGCTATGGGCATCATCGTTACTATGGACATTGTTACTACAGATATCGTTGCTACGAAGGGAAGGGATTATCCTTGAAAATTATTGAAAACATTAATTATGCTTCAAACTATTGAAAAACAAATTGTCTATCACAGAAAATGTTGCCAGGTCTTTTTCTTTAAAAATAATTCAGGCTCAAACTTTTATCAAACCCTAACAGCGGCATGAAACGTCACTCACACGGAAACCCGTTATGCGGGATAGTACAAATAACGGGTCTTGTATTCCCACACCAGCAGTTAACTTTTGACTTCTCTCGTGACGGAATGTCAAGTACAATAAAAAAAGAAAATTTAATATCTACATCCGGTACGGGTTCAGTGATATATTGACTAAGTTGGTGGAAGTAACGAAACATGATTACACCATGTGAGGTAAATGTAAGCCGCCCGTGACGTATTAACAAATCAATAAAACACAAGTACCGTATGCCGTGTTTTACAGGGTTACACCGTCAACAGGATCTGGTAAGCAGATCGTTGATCGATCATACCATTACTCCGCCTCGATAGTAAAGTTGCTTTTGTTGTAGATACACACGCTTCGATTCACATCCATGGTGGATTCGTGGGAATGTTTTGTTCAGTGTTGCGCGTGTATTGTTGCATCAAGGTTAGCTTAAATTTGATAACTTCTACCACTTAAGCAGCTTGTCTGACTTCGACTGTTGCTGTGAGTGAGTAAGTGAGTATGGTTTTACGCCGCTTTTAGCAATATTCCAGCAATATCACGGCGGGGGACACCAGAAATGGGCTTCACACATTGTACCCATGTCGGGAATCGAACCCGGGTCTTCGGCGTGACGAGCCAACGCTTTCACCACTAGGCTACCCGACCGCCCACTGTTGCTGTGAGGCACCGTCAGTTGGATGAACGGTAGCCTTACAAAGGGAAGTGTCATAAATGTTGTCATAAATAGAATACAAATATGATAGTCATCATAAGAGACTAAAATAGATTCAATTCTTTAATTGGCTATAATTATAATACTTAATAGGAAACCTAAATAAATCCACCACACATAAAAAAAAACAAAAAACATTAAACAGCCGAAAGTTCAACTTTCGGTTCGAATAATGATCTAGTTTCTTAAAAAGAATGTTGTTTTGAAGAGGATAAAAATGTATTAAGTCACTACACTGGCCTCTGTTAAAGCGTCATCACGTCCTAATGCTGGGGTATTGTTAAACTGTACAGCTTCACTCTCCCGTTAGTTGTCACGTAAGGTACTTGGGTGACGTAAAAGTCCTGTATCTCTAGCGTGAAGCTAGAGAAAATATCTAGCGTGAGGCAAGAGAAAAGAAGCAATGCATAGAATGGTAAAACCATCAGTCAGTTGCCCTTACACTGCCTGCAGTACTTTCTCTAATCCCCCATAAATCCATCTTAACCACTGTGCCACTGGTAGTCCCGACGTCAATAAGGTGCCGCAATTCGCTGTGAAGAGTTCTGTCCCCTGGCCACGCCAGGATCGTATGATCGTGGATTTCTCAAAAGAAGTAAGCGTCTGGGAACTGCATCCCATTCAGTTCTTTCTCCACATTAACCACAACACGGCTTCATCATCATCATCATCATCATCATCATGAACAAAAACAACCTTGCCGTGAGTGAGTGAGTCAGTTTCTTAAAACCGCTTTGAACATGCAGGAGATATCGCTTGGGTGAGATCAAGCGATATTTACATTGTAGATATCGCTGCAATGAAATTGCATCACACTGCTTATATTATATATAGCAGTGCAGTCAGAATGATGTGGGCGGGAAGTGGGAAGTGATGATGATGTTTGGCACCTCTGGTGAAACTCCGCGGTAGAAAGTGCTGACAAGCTTACAAACATAATCAGGGCAAATCTGGGATTCGAACCCACGGTCCCGATCCCGATAGTAATGAACTCCCGTAATATCAGTCTGAAGGAAGTCCTGCCTGGGGTCAACTGACAATCCCGATCCCGATAGTAATGAACTCCCGTAATATCAGTCTGAAGGAAGTCTAGGCTGGGGTCAGCTGACAATCCCGATCCCGATAGTAATGAACTCCCGTAATATCAGTCTGAAGGAAGTCTAGGCTGGGGTCAGCTGACAATCCCGATCCCGATAGTAATGAACTCGCGTAATATCAGTCTGAAGGAAGTCTAGGCTGGGGTCAGCTGACAATCCCGATCCCGATAGTAATGAACTCCCGTAATATCAGTCTGAAGGAAGCCTAGGCTGGGGTCAACTGACAACCCCGATCCCGATAGTAATGAACTCCCGTAATATCAGTCTGAAGGAAGTCTAGGCTGGGGTCAACTGACAATCCCGATCCCGATAGTAATGAACTCCCGTAATATCAGTCTGAAGGAAGTCTAGGCTGGGGTCAATTGACAATCCCGATCCCGATAGTAATGAACTCCCGTAATATCAGTCTGAAGGAAGTCTAGGCTGGGGTCAGCTGACAATCCCGATCCCGATAGTAATGAACTCCCGTAATATCAGTCTGAAGGAAGTCTAGGCTGGGGTCAGCTGACAATCCCGATCCCGATAGTAATGGACTCCCGTAATATCAGTCTGAAGGAAGTCTAGGCTGGGGTCAGCTGACAATCCCGATCCCGATAGTAATGAACTCCCGTAATATCAGTCTGAAGGAAGTCTAGGCTGGGGTCAACTGACAATCCCGATCCCGATAGTAATGAACTCCCGTAATATCAGTCTGAAGGAAGCCTAGGCTGGGGTCAACTGACAATCCCGATTCCGATAGTAATGAACTCCCGTAATATCAGTCTGAAGGAAGCCTAGGCTGGGGTCAATTGACAATCCCGATCCCGATAGTAATGAACTCCCGTAAGATCAGTCTGAAGGAAGCCTAGGCTGGGGTCAATTGACAATCCCGATCCCGATAGTAATGAACTCCGCTAACATCAGTCTGAAGGAAGTCTAGGCTGGGGTCAACTGACAATCCCGATCCCGATAGTAATGGACTCCGCTAACATCAGTCTGAAGGAAGTCTAGGCTGGGGTCAACTGACAATCCCGATCCCGATAGTAATGAACTCCGCTAACATCAGTCTGAAGGAAGCCTAGGCTGGGGTCAACTGACAATCCCGATTCCGATAGTAATGAACTCCCGTAATATCAGTCTGAAGGAAGCCTAGGCTGGGGTCAATTGACAATCCCGATCCCGATAGTAATGAACTCCCGTAAGATCAGTCTGAAGGAAGCCTAGGCTGGGGTCAATTGACAATCCCGATCCCGATAGTAATGAACTCCGCTAACATCAGTCTGAAGGAAGTCTAGGCTGGGGTCAATTGACAATCCCGATCCCGATAGTAATGGACTCCGCTAACATCAGTCTGAAGGAAGTCTAGGCTGGGGTCAACTGACAATCCCGATCCCGATAGTAATGAACTCCGCTAACATCAGTCTGAAGGAAGTCTAGGCTGGGGTCAACTGACAATCCCGATCCCGATAGTAATGGACTCCCGTAACATTAGTCTGAAGGAAGTCTAGGCTGGGGTCAATTGACAATCCCGATCCCGATAGTAATGGACTCCCGTAACAACAG